AAACCACTAGAGCATTTTCAGCAGAGGAGTGACAGGGTCTCATTTAAATCTAGAGAAGATCTCTTTGGCTGCAGCATTGAGGATGGTGGATGGCAAGAGGGGAAGCTGGGCAATTAGTTAGGAGGCTCCTGCAGAAGTCCAGCCCTGGATCAAGGTGGGCTGTGGAGAAGACTCAGGAACATTCTGGAGGTTTTTAAATGCTCACAGCAACCATAACCATGCCTTCACACCCAATCTTTATATCATTCAGAGCTCCTTCATTTGAGTCTCACAGCAAACCCTAGGTAGATGGGACTGAATCAGCAAGGCCATTTCATAGAACAGGAGACTGAGGCCAAGACTGACATAATGATTACACCCCAGATCATGCAGCTGGTTTGTGCTGGTGCTGGGAATGAAAGTCAGGACTTTGGACTCCATGCTCTGCATTCCACTGCCCGCAGAGGGACAGGGCATCACATGGAATGCTCTGGAGAACAAGAGCGCAGATGAACCTCTGAAAACCCCAGAAGGGTCACAGCCTTGACCTCCCCTGTAGGCCTGACAGGAAGTGCTCAATGGATACTTGCTGGATGACCCCAGCACTTCAGAAGGCATGGCTCCTGGTCTCAGGGAACATGACACCCCACTCCCTTTCTGAGTCACGTGCAGACAGGGCAGGAAGAGCTGGTGCGTGACTCCTCAGTTTTCTTCTGAAAAACAGGGACATCTTCTAACTTGAAGGACTATCATGAGGATTCATGACAGATAATGGGCAAAAGCATGACACAAATGTTAGATAAATAGGCTTTCCAGACAGGTAAGGAGAAAGCTTCATGGAAACTGAAATAACTTGAAGGCATCTCTCCCACATGGCAGCGGAGAGCTTGGACTCAGTTTACCATACTGGGCTCCCTGGCCCTGTGCTGCCACAGCCAGGTGATCGTGGCACCTCAGTCCCCTCTTCTGCAAAAGGGGCTGCTAATAATCACTCCCACCTCCAAGAGTTGCTAAGCAGATTCAGTAGGAGAAGGCCCAGAAAGTTCCAAGCAAAGAGCCGGCACAAGCAGTGGCTGCCATCGCCATTGTTACTGTTACCATTGGGTGCATGTCTCAGCCTCGGATTCAGGGCTTGGGAGCTGCAGAGCTGAGGTTGCCTACAGACGGGTTCTGAATGCAGAAATGCGGCTGCTCGTTCCCTCCAGGCCCCAAGCTGATGGTGAAACGGCGCTTAACACACCTGCAGAAGCCATCAGGGCACTTACAAGAAACAGACTTACTAGAAGAAATAAATAAGGCGGGAAGGAGCTCCATAGCTGGTGATGACAGAGTAAGGAAAATGGGCCTGTTTTCTATGAGCCATTAAATGTGATGAAAGGCCCTGGCTTCTGTGGAGGCCCCTGCAAACTGACACACAGCAGTCACTTCATCAGCTGGGCCCAGGCTCCAGCTTCGGGTTGCGACCAGGCTTCCTCAGAGGACAACTGCTTCTGCTTCTGAAGTTTCCACTGCAGGCCCATCGGTTATTCCTCTCTCTCCTGCCCAGCCACACCTGGGCCCAGGCTGGGCCAACCCAAGAGCCAGACTCCAGACTGCCCAGCTTTGCTCTCCCACTCTGCCACTTACACAGTGAACCTGACTTCTCTGGGCCACAGTTTCTTCATCTGTAAGATGGGGATGAATATCACGGCTACCTATAGGGCTGTTATTAAGATTAAATAAACTAATCCAGGAGAAAGCATTCGCAACAGGGCTCAGCCACTAGGTAATTTTATTGCTGGATTTAGATTATTAAAATTCTAAAGCCCTTCTAGTCCTTTTTATCTGAGTCTGCTGTCCTGAGCTGCAGACACTGGGCTTCTCCCACGAGTTACCATCAAACGTGAAATCTCAGGGCTTGTTTTCACAAAGGGAAACTGGGGCCCAGGGAACCCAAGGAGCCATGACGGCAGAGCCTAACTTCAACCTGAATGCACACCTGCCCCTGTATCGCGGCTGTTCCGGGCGGCCTGCCTACGCCTTCCTTAGCAGCGGCCCTGGCTTCTCCGCCATGGTGCCTTTTCTCAGAATCCCCTTTCTCTGGCTTTTCTTGCCCGTCTTTCAAATGTTCCAATGGCACTTCTAGGAAGACCTTCCACCCCGAGGCAAAATAAACCTTCTTGGAACTGGGGCATTATTCAATATGATACACAATGGCTGAGTGCATTCTCCTGGCACCTGCACTGGGGCCTGGGGCACAGGGGGTGACTCAGATCCAGTTCCTGCCCTTGGAAACTCAGGTCATTACCCTTTCTCCTTTCCAAGCTACTATCTCCTCCAAGGTGTCGCCAGGCACTGAACTGTGATCTCTACCCTCAGGGTCCGGCCCTCCCTCCACCACCATTCCGCCTTTCTCCAGGCACACTCCCAGAATCTCCTGAGCATAGATAGATTCCCTGGGCCAGCCCTGGAGGCCCTGGTACATAGCGCTAGCACAGTAAAACTCCCGGCCTTGGGGGACCTGCTGACCTCAGTTTAAGCCTCCATCCCCGTTGCATTTGCCAAATCAGACCGTCCTGGTCTCTGTTCACGTCTACATATTTGAGCAGGAGATGGTCCAATTCTGACACCGGTTCTGACAAAGCACATGCAACAGTCACACAGGCCTGGGTTCAAATCCAGCTGGGTAACTTTGGGCCAGCCACATAAATCATGTGTTCCTCAGTTTCTTCAACTGTGAAATGGAGATAAGAATGTCCACCCCTCATGGAGGCGCTGTAAGAAGAGAAAGAATGTACACCAGAAGGTCTTGCTCTGAGCAGAGAAGCCATGGTGGTAAGCACAGGAAATCCCTTCCTCTTCTCTACCCGCAAGCCTCCCCATTATTTCAAGTTGAAGACCTGCTTCCGGGAGCAAGCCCGCTCTAACTTTTCCAGGTAACCCTGAGGGCGCTCTCTTCTCTCCACTCCCACGGCATTGACCCCAGTATCGGGCATTTCCTTCTTCTCTTTTTGGTTCACTAGAGTTAACTTTCTCTTCCCAGCCAGACTCTAAGTGACAAACTCAACCCCTCGCGGGCCCTCCAGCATCTCGCCATTCTCACAAGATGTACTTGGGCGGTACCTCGCTAACGCGGCTCAGGACTCTGGGAAAGGCCCCAGTGATGGAGTCAGAAACCAGGCGGGCATCCTCGCTCCGCTATGTGACTTTCCAGGGACGCATTCAGTTTTCTAAACCTCAGGTTTCTCATCTGGAAAATGAGGATGGAAAAATGTCTACCTGACACGGTTGCTATGGCAGACAGATGAGCCAGCATATGTGAAAGCCTTTTTGTTATAAACTAAACAGTGCTATTTAAGGTATTATTATTTTCAGATTCTCAAATCCAAATATACTGATGCCTCAACCTTCCTATACCTAGATTCAAGAGACTAGAGCCTCTGACCCCCATTAATCCATTCAAACCCACACTCCTAACTGCCCATCCTAAACAAAAAGCCAGCAGCCTTGAATTCACAGCATCTGTGAAGCGCAAGCTCGTCCCAGCTCCGGGGCCACAAAATCTCTCCCCTGCCTCGGTTCTCATGCCTCCTGGACACAGGTTTCTCCTTCCCAGCTTAACAGGCACCAACTGCGTTTCTGCTGGGCTTCATTTCTAACCTGCAGTCCAGTTTCTATGGGAAGGGCAAGACCACTGCGGGGATGGTTGTATGTGGAGAAGGGAGGAGGAGTCTTGGTAGTAGAACTAAAGATTCCACTGGAATTTTGTGTCCAACACTTGCTAACTGTACTATAATTATACCATTTGTGTGAAAATTCAAGGATCTGCATTCTGCTGTTTTCGTAAGACTATGAATTGCAGGCGCAAAGGAAAACGGTAAGAATCTGGGATTCAAAGTCTTGTACCGAGGAACCAAAGTCCCGATGAGCAACCCCAGAGAAATGAAGCCCCTGACAGAGCTGCTGTGGACCCGGGTAACCCCTCCGGCCCGACCCCCAGACTCCCCGGCCTCGGTCGCCCCTCCCCCGTTCCGGGCCCTTCTTCATTAATGCCATGTTGGCACCGCAGCCATCAGGGTCTATCAGAATCGTTTCTACGTGATTTTTTTTCCCCTTGGGAAAACTGCTTTGTTTCTGTGGAAGACCCCCAAACCGCGCACCTTATGAACACCCGGAGACACACAGATCTTAAGAGGAAAAGGGGGACGGGAAGAACAGGCCCCAAGGGGCCCCTGAGACCAGCTAGGAGCGGGAGAGGAGTCCGAGGCCGGCTCGGCGGGTCCGGGGCACCCATCCCTGGGGGGTGTCCCCCACGCACTGGAGCTGTTCCCCGCAGCCCCCGCGCTCTCCCGGCCCCACGACGGGGCCCTCGCGGGCCTCGGAGCTCAGGCACTGATGGTGCGGCCGGAAAAGACCCCCTGCCCAGACCGCGCCCCCCTTTCCTGCAGCCGTTCCCCTGGGGCCGGGCTACAGGCCCCGGATCCCCGGCCTCGCGTGGCTGCCGCAGCCGGCAAGGGAGGCCCGGCGGCGGCCGAGGTTCTCGGCCCCGCTGCGGTTCCTCCAACTCCTGGAGGTGGGGGCCAAGGCGCACACAAAAGGAAAGGGCGCGCCGCCAGCGACGCCCCTGTCCACCGCCTCGATCCCCTTCGCGAGGGCCGGCAAAGCGTCCTCGCGCCCCAGACCTGCGGACGCGGAGGGCCCCCCATGGAAGTGAATTCCAAGGCACCCCCCGGGAGCTGCAGGGGCGGCCACATCACCGAGCGGCAGGTGCCCCCGGCCGCACAATAACTTTGAAACTTTGGGACAGGACACGGGGACTGAGAGAGGGAACCCCAAAAAGGAAATGAGGATTTGGGGAGATGGCTTTCTTTCTGCAAAATGCACTTTCCTGCGGCCCCGCGTGGCGCCGGCCTGGCCGGGGTTTTTCCGCGCCTCCTCCCGGCCCGGCGCGGCCCCGGGCGCCCCCAGCCCTCCCGCGCGGCCCCCGGGACACAGTCGGCTCGGCCCCGGCCCCGCCGGGCTCGGCCGCGCGCACCACTCACCTCGGCCGGGCAGCGCTCCCCGCGGGCCTGCGCCGAGCCCGATAAATGGTATGCTATGACTAGAGGTATGATTACGTTATTATTATTAGTAATAATAAGAGTAAATGCTATTTAATTACGGGCGGCCGCATCCTGCCCCCGGCGCCGCCGCCCCGGCAGCTCCGTGCGTGTGGCTCCGGAGCCCTTTACTTTCATTTCCAGCCCCTCGGCCGGCCGCTCGCGGCAGCGCCCGCTGGAGGCGCCGACTCCCCGCAGCCCTTCCTCCTCGGGTCCTAGAGCGCGGCCGCCCTCGCCTGGCGCCCGGCGTGGGCGGCGCGGGCTGCGCACCTGGGGGCGGGGGTCCCCCTTGCCGGCGGGAGGCTCATGACCGGAATGCGCCGCTGTTTTCTCTAAAAGCGGCCTTCCTTTCTAGGGCTTTCCTCGGGGCAACTGCATGTCTGGGCTGCCGCTGGCCAGCTTCAGCGCCTCCGCCCCCGCACCCCCCGTGTGTGTGGAGAGCCCCCGGGATTCCAGGCGCGGCGGTGAGGACCGGACGCCCACCGAGGAACTGGGCCCCCACTCGGCCGGTGTTTTCTGTATGGGATCTTTCCAGAAAGGATTTGAGGCTACCAAGAAGCCACTTACTTTACCAGTAGGTAAAGGGAGATTAACCAGAGTGACCGGCTGTATTCCACCCCCGGCACTGCCCCAGACCTGCTCAGGGACAGCCGGGATTTGAATCCAGAGTTTCTGATTGCAGACACCGTGTGATCCCACCCTACCACTACCTACCTGCCCCCAGGACTCCAGAGGACTCGCCCATACATCCCTGTGAGAGTCCTCTCAAACTTCCCCTTCTCCTCCTCTGCATGTTACACACACACGTGTGTAAGTATATGTATATATACATGCATATGGAGCTTTTGGAGGATCAGTTGTGAGCCTGGCAGACTTTATAAATGTTACCTCTTCCCCAAACCTTTGTGCCAGACACAATCCTAGGAGCTAGGGATACATCAGTGGGGCACACTTTTGTTTTAAAGAAACTAAAAAGCTATTTTTTTTATTAAGGTATCATTGATATACACTCTTATGAAGGTTTCACAAGAAAAACAATGTGGTTATTACATTTGTAAGAATATAGTAATTTACCCTCCATTTGCCCCATGGTCCCAAGCACATAAGCCGGTGAGAATTATGCCTGGGCTGGCCTGGGGC